AATGGATAACAAATCAAACTGATATGAAGTGCAGAAACTGTCATGGAATTATTTAGATTTACTGTGGTGATGTGAAAACTTCAAAAAAATGAAGAAATGATGCAATCTTTTCTTTTTAAACCAGTTAATAAATCCAGATGTCATACGAATAAACATCTGCATCACAGAAGATTAAACCCAGAAAAGCAAATTTGTAGAAATAGAATTCAATGATGAGAGCAAACAATGTTGAAGTTTCTTTTCTTTTCAAAATGGCAGTCCACAGAGGCATAACTTGTCTAAAGATTTTTACAATCAATTTGTCTATTGAAAATATACAAAGGTTAATAAGTACTTGCTACATTGGCACCTGAAAGATGTGTGGGTTGCGACAGATTTATAGTTTATATCAGCCCATTGTTTGGTTACACATTTTCATCATAGAGAAAAATATAACTCATCATTCATATTGACAAACATGGTTACTTTTTGCTCCAGCTCCTCTTCGGAAACACATTTGTGCTGCAGCAGTAGGGATGCACAATTTGGCAGTTTGGGTGTGAGATGTAATCCAAGCCCCAGGCCTTCGGGCTCCAGTGTTTTTCCTTCTCGCTCCGCAGGATGGTCTCATAGATCACACTAACTGCACTGTTGCTAACCCGGCCTCTTTCTGTCTCTGAGACGGCCATTAAACCTTCATCCTCACTCTGCCATCCCAGCCTGTGATTTACAAACATTTTAGTCTAAACGGCTTACAGCAGACCTCAGTGACCACTGAGTAAAGGATGATCCAGCTAAAATGGGCTCTAGTTGCGCTGAGACAGAGACATTGGGCAAAGAGGGGGGCCCACATTAGTGCTGCATGACCCTGTTGGCTGGCAGAGGTGAGGGACGACAAAGCAACGCTGTAAATTTGCACCTGGTCGAGCACCTATTTCTGGAGAGAGGACATTTCTGTCGCTGCAGCGGAGATGAGAGTGATTCAGCCTTGTTCAAAAGATTCTGATTTTGTGTGTCTCAGGTGCCTCAAGGAAGGACCAGCCCTCGTTTACACTGAAGCAGGTGAGCTACCTGTGTGAGCGGCTGCTTAAAGACCACGAGGAGAAGATCCGGGAGGAGTACGAACAGATCCTTAACACAAAACTCGCAGGTAATTAACATTCTTTTCCAAAAAATGAGCACAAACTATAAGACCACAGCACATTTACAGTTCATCTGGACATACTTTCTGCATTCAGGCACTTAGGAACAGTAAAAGTGTCACACTGAAATGAGAAACATCCTGCACCCCTCCCTTATGAGTATATTTTCATATCATCACTGATAACTTCTGCAGTGCTGGCACCATACGGAGTTTATACGCTTGTGGATGCCAAGACTGTAAACAGGCAGGAAACAAGCACAGTAAAGATGGTGGGATTTTGTTAAGCAGCTGAAGCAAAAGACACTCTGACAATGTCCACATTGAGTCAATCTGGTTCTGTTTGCTGGTCCTCCCCTCTTAGCTGGTATTTTTTGTACCCAATTACAGCTTTTCCAGAGTCTGTAAATTGTAAAATGTCTGCTTGGTGTTTAACTGGAAAACTGATGTGAGCTTTTGCAAAATGAGGATGTTCAGTATGGCCCTGATCACACAGGACTTTTGTAGTAGTTCTTAATGAGAATGAAGGTTTTTGCGTTGCGGTGCGCCTCACTTTTCTACGTTCTAAGAGCTTGGTGTTTTTGCCGGAGCACCCTGAACGCCTCAAGTTGAAAAACCGTCATCTCACTGCGGAAAAACTCTCATCTTTTCCCTATTGTCCAATCCAACGATTTGAGTATCCTTCTGTGGTGGTCATGACAAGTTTACAGTTGGTAATGGGAGGCACCACCAGTTGGTCCAGGAGCTTCACCTCGATGATGGCCGTTTCCAGGCATATTTTAGGATGATATTTTAGGATGTCTATCGTCGGGCCGTATACCCAGAGCTGTCAAACTGCCCCCGATTCATCCTAAAATCTGCCTGGAGACGACCATCATCGAGGAGAAGCTCCTGGACCAACTGGTGGTACTCCCCATCATCCACCCTCTTTATTAGGGTCTCATGTACCCACACAGATCTCCATTTCCTTGCGCCCGACAAACTATTAACTGACAGCCTCTCACCCTCAACCAGAGCTACAGCAAGTACCCTCTGCCTCAACATTTAAGGGACTAGATACTATTTACCTCACGTCCTGTGTGATCAGGGCCTAAGCGACCTCAGTCACAGTTGAGGGGTTGGTGCCAGTAGTCTGAACTTAAGAGGACGACCTTTGGTCACCATTTACTTTTTCTGTGGTCACTTAAATGTCAATATAGGTGATGCTTGTGTACGGCTGTTGTCATTAAGCTGTATTTATGTTTGTTTGTTTGTTTGTTTTTTTAAGCTGTATTTATGTTGATTTTGTGAGGTAATTTTTAATCACCAGAATGCAGGAAGTGAAGTTAGATTGAGTCTTGATTAAATTATTCTTATAGAGATACTTACAAAAACGCCATCTTGTCTTTCCCAGAACAATATGAATCTTTTGTGAAATTCACACAAGACCAGATCATGCGAAGATACGGAGCCCGGCCTGCTAGTTGTAAGTAACCACCATTTCCTTCTCTGTCTACGTACACATTTCTTGTGTAAATCAGTGTTCTGAGTTAAAAAGGATGATGTGATTGTTATCGTGTCTGACTCCAGTATTGTGTGTGTTGTGTGTTTCAGATGTCTCCTGAACTCACATTGATGAGATCCCAGCTTCCTCTCACAAGATGGCTGCTCTTCTACTGCCCCCTCCCTCTTCCACTTGATTTTCATTTTATTTCCCCATTTTCCTCCCCCTCCCATCTTAAACTGTTTGGGTGCCATGGTTTATCCTCTTTTCAATCCAAACATTTTCTTACTTCAAAACTATTGCTGCTGGCCAAAAGTTAGAAGAATCTGAAAGATAAACTATGTATGAAGCCCACCTCCTTTTTTGCCCCGTTTTTTCTTGTTCATATTCTCTCTCTCTCTCTCTCTCTCTCTCTCTCTCTCTCTCTCTCTCTCTCTCTCTCTCTCTCTCTCTTTCTCCCTCTCTCTCTCTCTCTCTCTCTCTGGAAATCCTGACTAAAGCAGATCTGTGTCAAATCTCTTGCCGGCGCTGTAGAAAAAGCTTATTGGCTCATGTGATCATTCTGTATAACCTTACAGCAGCTGTATTTAATGGCTCCTGCTTCTCATATCGTCCCACTTTTCTTGCCCACTCCTCCCCGCTCCCTCCTCACAACTCTTTACCTGAGAATGTGGATTTTTCTCCCTTTTGAAAAAAATAAAAGTTCTGTGATTAAAGTCTGTCGTCCTGAATGATTTCCTTGAAGCATGGGTGTGTTTTTAGTCGTATGGATAGCTGACAAGCTTTCCATTGCATCACATGATCTCAGCAGATGAAGTTTGCCTAGTTTAACTGTGGATGTTTAAATTTATATTATTCCTGGAGCACCTGAATATTTCTCATCTGCATTGGCTCACAAATTGAACTTGGAATTTCAATCAAGACAGTCTCATCACCAGAGGATCCATGATACCATATTATCCTGATACTTAAGTCATGATGCAATATTACTGCAATTTAAAATATGTTGCGATATGCTGAGTATTGCAATAAAATATAATGTGATACATTACCTTTTTTCAACTGTAAATTATGTCCCCAAAGGAAAACTTTGTCCACATCTGTTTTATCTTACAAGTTTTCAGTCTGTTCATCTCACTTAAGCCTTTTTTTTTGTTTTGCAGCAAAATGTATCAAGTGGACTGAAAAACCAATAGATTTTCATCTTTTTTTGTAGGCTCCCTAAAGTTCAATTGTATTTGCAGTATTAGTTACTAATTAGATAATAAACTATTTTTAAATTAATAATTTGATTTTAATTGATAAACATTTGTATATAAAAAATTAAATATAAATTAATAATGTAAAATGTATATAATTTTTTTTTTTTTAAATAAAAATTGATACTTGGCACTGCATGATATTGCCACACGAAAATATCATGATACTATGCTGTATCAATTGTCTCTTCCCCCGCCCTGATGTATAGCTCAAAAAGGTGATAGATGGAAAATAATTTTTGATCATCATTGTAAACTGGATGTCCTTGGGTGTGAACTCTTGTTATTTATTTATTTTAACAGCTTGACATTTTATAAACAAAAAAAGATTAATCAGAAGGAAATTGGTGTTTTTGTAAAGGACCAGCTTCATTAATATAATATCTTAAAATGTATTAACCTCAAATAATTCTGATTAATAATACTAATAATAATTCATTTTATTTTAGGTGCCTTTCAGAACACTCAAGGACACCTTACAAGACACAGTAAAAAAAAAAAAAGCAATGTATCCAGAGATCATAAAATCAAACAATTCAGTTTTATACAATAAAAGTTAACATAATGACTAGGAAAAAAAAATCAGAATTATAAATATTAGGTATAAAATCGTCATAATAAAATCATCATCTTCAAATTAAAAACATTAAGTAAAAGTGTATTTATGAAATGAGAACATCATCCACTGTCAGTGTCAGAGGGCTGCACCACCTGCTGGTGACTGGATGATGGAAATGTATAGAAATCTGAAAAATACCTTTTGATTTTGAGTGAATGGGAGATTGTATATAGACGTACAGTGTTTTATTTGCCTGCAACCCATTTAATAATCCATCCCATTGTTCTTAGTTCTGGACTCTACTCCCACCTTGTGGAGAATAGGAGGTAATGCAGCATTAATAATAAAGCAGCTTTAACCTGAGTGCTCTTTGATGAATTAGACTCTGTATAATCTATTTGAATATATGGCACCGTGGATCAAAGATGGTCGCCTTTATTGCCCTTTTCCCGGGCTGTGTGGGTGGAGGGAGGAGGGGGGTATGTGTGTGTGTGTGTTAGCAAAGCTGGATAATGTGAAATAACACGACGGTGACGTCACTGATCCCAGGTGTGGCACGGTGAAACAGGTAGGCTGTTGTTGTCGCGCGCAGGGCTGCAGCCATCTGTACTCACTGCTGTTTCTATGTTTCTATAAAACTGTCCTGTGTCTGAGAGGAAGAGGGGGGCATCTGAGGGTTGTTTGCACTGAGGAAGGAAGCTACTTGCAGGAAAAGCAATGAAATGTCTATAATTAACTCCAAGTGCTCCTTCTTCTGTTTTTCCCCCGGATCTCACAGTGACGGTCGGGTTGAAGAAGGGACTCCGCGGTGTGTGTGAAGACATGGAGGAGTGGTGCTGAAAGCGTCATTGTTGGGTATTTTTAACTCCAGTACAGCAGTATATGAACTTATGCACTCCTCAGCTCTCACATTGAGCTTTTTGGATTAGTTTAGCCGGATCAATATTTATGCGTTTGGGACCGTCTGGAGCCATCTTCACTCTTCCTGGTGGAGGTTTAGGTGAGTACAGACCAAGGTGAGGGTAAAAGAAATATGTGAGAAAACTTTACAATGGAGAGGAGCATTGACTAGATTTTATTTTTAGGTTGAAAGGAATAGTTTGGGATCAGTAGCCCACAAAATCAGAGTATCAGCAACGCCCAGTAAACAGGAAATGCTAATTATCAGGCTGCTGCAGTTACTGTAAAAGACTACCATACACTACTGTAACTGTGTCAGCTTCTGTACAGCCAGGGAATATTATAAAATATGGAAGTTAAACTAGGTTATTTCTTGTTTATATTTGCTTTTAAGTTCTGCTTTTTGCACATTTTATTTACTAAGAGTTGTTCTAAAGCAAGATCTTACTGAAGGAGTGTTTTTAATTACATTTGCAACATAATTTATAGTGTGGATGTTGCAGGTTATACAAGCAGCACAAACAGGACATTTAGGAGTCATTTTAAACAAGCATTCAGTCAAACAAAGACTGTCAATTGAATGACATTATCAGGGCATCTGGAGTCTTTAAACATCTATAGATTTAAGGGGCTTACAAATACAAAGGTTATTTAGATAGATGGGAAAAGACATGTGGCCTGACTTAAAACAATGACAGCTCTCTTTTCTTATCTCCTCAAAAATGGCTTTTCTTCTTCTGTGTATTGGTTGTGTTGTACGTAACCACCACCTGCATACACTAAGCTCCACCTCTAAATGTGTGGAACAAAAGAGAAATGAAAGTAATACGATGAACAATTTGCATTAATAGTGAGGGAAAAAGAGGAAGAATATGATTGTAGATACCTTTTTAGTTTATACAAATTAGATTTAGTGGCTACAGTGTTCTTCTTTCCGATCATGCATGTTTTTAAAATACATGTACAGATGTGTTGATTTTAATTTTGTTGTCAGATAAAGGTGCAACAGTTAGTCAGTTATTCCAGTATAGTCAGTCAACAGAAAACTTATTGCAGCTATTTTTGCTGTTCCAGCTTCTTCTTTTAGAGATATTTTGGGGGCTTTTGCCTTTATTTGAGGACAGATGTAGCATGACAGGGGAGAGAGAGGGAGGATGACATGCAGCAAAGGGCATGGGTTGGAAAACAAACTTGCAGCTGCTGCAGTAAGGACATAGCCTTTGTACATGGGGCGCCTGCTCTACCAGGTGAGCTAGTGGGCACCCTATGCTTTTCCAGCTTCTCAAATGCCACGCTTTTCTTTGTTGTGCATGATAGTAAACTGAATATCTTTAGGTTAGGACAAAACGAGACATCTGAGGACAAAATCTTTGGCTGTGAGAATTATAACTGGATTTTTTTAAAAAAATTTTTTTTACTATTTTTCTGATAGATAAAATGATAAAATGATCCATACTGAAAATGGTCACAGGTTTAGCTCTAGTTGTTCTGCCCACCTGTAGGACAAAGGTTTGTGAGGAATAGGCCTGTGATAACACATGTATGCATTCATGGTGATTAACTTCTCGGCACTTTAAAACATGAAAGAAGTAATCAGTGTCTTTGAGGTGAGCAATACAGATGAAATCCTCTGTCACAGTATGTGTAATTTAATGCTAACAGAGGTGCCAGTTTTTTAGGTACACCCAGCTAAAACAAATGCAGCCTAATTCAGCATGCCTCTTAGTAAATCCTACCATCATGAAGGTTGTAATGTTCCGTTTTTCTTGAAGCTGTTTTAAAGAGATGTTGATTCAACTTTATGGTTAATCTTAGAGGTGGTAATTTGTGGTACGGTTGTTGAGTCAGTCTCCCCCTCACTGTCCGCCTCAAAAAACCCTCAAAACACACCTCTTCAAAACTGCCTACAACCTCTAAAATCAGTGTAATTTGCCCTTTCTGCCTATCTCTCTGTCTCTCTGTCTATCTTCCTATGGATTATTTGGATTACTTTTGTTTTTCTCTGTAAAGCATGTTTGAGTATCTTGATAAGCGCTATATACATCCAATGTATTATTATTTTTATTATTGTTATACTATATCTCTGTATCTCCCTGTTTGATGCACTACAATTCAACAGCATCACAAACTACAGCCTCTAAAATGACCAAACTTTCAAGGTATGGCCAAAAAATTTGTGGAAATTCAATTGAGAAATTATTAACTAACTGTATAACTTGCAACACTGCCCACAGTGACCCAGTACACTCAGAGGTATTACAGTGGTTGCTACCATGGTATAAAATCTGCAATGGGAGGCAAATGTTTATCATCTCAATGTATAAATCATGATTTCAACCCCAAACTGTGTTTAATCTGCTGTTCAGGACTGACACAGTGATGGAGGACATTGACATCGAGCAGCAGGAACCGCTTCCTGTCGACCGAGATGGGAGACCGCTCAGGAGCGCAGGGGACGAGCCTGACGGTGGCAGAAAGATGGGATGTTGTGAGAAGTTCCAGCGCTCTGTCTCCAAATGGATGCTTCCAGCAGACGCCCGCAGCAAGTACCTGGAACGGGCCAACTGCTGCCCGCCCCCCATCTTCATCATCCTCATCAGTATTGCAGAGGTAACCCTTTGCCCTGACTGTACACACCATACTGCATGGGCACTGGGGCGATCAGTATGGATTCTGTGATGTAATTCAGCATGCATCCTACATTCGGCTTATATGCTGCCAGCGTGTTAATTACTGTATAGATCTGCTGTGATTGTATTAAGTAGAGCGGATACTGAGCTGACGTTATAGAAGCCTGGGTGGGACATTTTTAAATCATGACACTTAATGACACGTCAATGAAAACAGTTGTTTCCATGAATTGTAGCTTCTAGGTTAGACCTGGTGAAGTTGATCCTGACTGGTGGAACGCAGAGATGCCTTTTCTGAATGTGTAAACAGGATGCCAGTGCGTCTTATTGACTTTCAGATTCAGGTAAATAAATGTGGAATGTGGAGGATCAGTGGGTGATTTGTTGAAACAGGAAGAGGGGGGATGCTGTTGCCGTATTTTGCCCCCCAGACTACGGCTTTGAAGGGAGGTATACTGTCTTTTATTGCAATGTAAAGCCACTAGGAATGCGTTTAAGATCGACTGACTCCTCCCATCTCTGGTGACATTTCAAATCATAATCTTTATTTGGACAACTGAAACAAGTTCATGCAAACAGTTTTGAAAGCACAGTAGAGTTGATGTCGTCCAGTGTTTAAAAATAACTTTATGTAATATTACCTTAGAATAATGAAAACAAAACAGTGAATCTCTTTAGTTATTTAACCTGTTTCTGCTGTTTATTTAACAATTATGAATACAGGAAAGTACAGTCCTCCATATTTTGTCAGGCACCACTGCTTTCCCAAGCCTTTTTCCCCCAAGTGTCTTAATTGATTTTAAAAACAATAATCAAAGACATACACATACACACATTTCAGTATGTGTGTATATATACATCCACAAATATGTAAAAGACACACGAACAAAACCTTGGTACAACGGCTGAAGTTTTAACACACATATATTCTAACCACAGCCCAACTGTATGAATAAGAAAAATAAATAAAAGAAATTCGATAAAAATAAAATTCAATTCAATTTAATAAAATTCAATACAAATTACACATTATATTTATGTACAAATTTTGACAAAAATGAACCAAAAACTTTTTTTTTTTTTTGGACAGATTTGGACTCAGCAGAGGTACATTTAAAGCATATCCCCCACTGCTTCCATCATGTGGGTTAAGTCTTTCCTCTCTAGATAACACATGAATGAACCCCAGATGTTGTGAGACTGATTGATTCCCCCTGATAGCATATGCATTTTTCTTTTCTAAGGGCAGAGTTGGTGATAATTCAGAAATCCATTTACCCATACTCAGCCCACCGACTTCCTTCCATGAAAGAGCTATAACTCTTTTAGCCAGTAACAGGCCCATTTCTAAAAAAATTGATTGATCCCAATAGATGCCTTAGGTTGTTTAGTTTCACAAGATACCACTACTCTCGTGTTAGCTTAAAAACTGGGCGTGCCACAGCCTCTTAAAGTCAGTAATATTGGCCTCCAATAGTATCAGAGCGGCCGCTGTTTACTTTCATTTTTTATCACTGTTTTGCCTCTTCATACTTGGTGATGAATAGCTCAGTCGTTCAGCTCACACATGCCCAGTGTCAGTGCATTTAAATGTCTGTGAATCCTCTTATTTGGGGGAGGAGGCACTTTTATTTACCCGTGAGAAGATGGTCTGAGCGGCAGTGTTCTTTCTCAGCGTGCCATCTCTTCACATTCCCACAGATGCAAGCATTGAGTTGTCTGAGCTGTGATGAACGATCACACTGGGGGATTTTCTGTGGCTGGTTAAGCACACTTCAACATCTGTATTTCTGACTCAATCTTTATTTTCTCAGCTGTTTGGGATTTAGCTTCAACCCCCACACCTGCTGCTGCTGCTGCTGCTGCTGCTGCTGCTAACAACATAAAGGCAGATAAAAGTAAAATTATTTGATATTTTTAAAGCTGGTACTTAAAGACTAACTTGTGTGTGTATCTTCTGTTCCTCATCAGCTGGCAGTGTTTATCTACTACGCTGTGTGGAAACCTCAGAAGCAGTGGGTGACCCTGGATGAAGGCATCTGGAAGAGTCGCCTCACATACAAGCCTGAGTGCAGGCAGGAAGCATGGCGCTTCATCTCCTACATGTTTGTCCACGCTGGGTAAGCACCGGCTGTCCTTTTTAGATACTTTAATTACATGTGCAGGGCTTGAGTCACTGTGGGGAGTGGACAAATACCCACAGTCACTTGAAGCTCATAATGATGCAGGTTTGTTGATGCTGTCAGGTGTTGATTAAATTCTTTTGTCATATAGAGGTGTCATATTTGAGACTGCAGGTTGTAACCACTGCACCTCTTCATTCATTGCAGCATTCCGGTGTTTGGTTTTTGTCATCATGATTGTGACACTTCCTCCTTCATTACTTCATATTAACAGTTACAAAGAGGAGCACTGCAAAGTCATGTGATGTGGCGAGCAAACAGTCTCAGAAACCATGAGCACATCATGAGCACATAAGCCACAGGAACACAGGAAAACCAAAAATCATGACTACACGGAAGAACGTCGGAAAAAAAGAACAGGAAAGAGAAACAGCGGTCACAGTCACTCGCCAACACTAACTGAAACACACCTAACAGGATGTTTGCTTTAAGGATAAGGCTGGTGATATTCTACGTTGTTCTTACTGTCAGCAAGTCCCATGAAAAGACGAAAACCAACAATTGATTGGTTATACGTCGTGCTGTGGACCCAAAATACATTAAAAATACGTAACAGATTTGCGTCAGTCTCATGTCAGAAATAGTCACTGGTGCACAGGGTGACCAGATCCCAGCAAACCAAATGTGAGTATGTTTGTGTGGGACAACGTGGGAAACGTCACCAATGCTGAGAGATGGTGCACTCAACTACTGTGTTTAAACACCTGAAGGTCACTAACTTTTTTGGTGAGGGTAACATTTCAGTTTTATAGTATCAAAGGTGACTATTGTGTGGACTAAACATATTCTAAAACTGTGGCAGATATATTGGAAATGTGTTACTTTAGTTTATAGACAGAGGAATCAGCCACATTTTGATTTAAGATTTGAACGTTTGTGATGAGTCATGGTAGCTGTAGTAGATGGTAGCTATCCAACACACATACACACCTAGCACACAGTCTGCACACAAGCAGGTTTTGTAAAAGTGAAACCATAAGTGTTTCTCTGCATCTTGAGCATTAACTCTCCAACCAGCAGCTGCATGTTGGATGTCCAGTAAAACACAGGACACAGAGTAGTAAGGATCATGCGGCACAGACACTCCATGAGTGTGTTTGACCAACAGTCAAATGATAAGCTTATCATCTCACTGCGACACAGTTCAGTACCATCACCTGACTGTTTTATCTCATGCCAATTCCGCATTCTCGTATCTGATATTGTGGCTTGTGATGTAGTGGTTAACAACCCACCTCTTCTGCATGTAGCTGGACATAGCTGGACGTAGCTGTGTGTCTGTAGCTATTCTTTTTTTTTTTTTGTTACTTTTGTAGACTAGAGCTGATCAAAATGTGGGACGTTGTCTCCATATGTGTGACATGGGACAAGAGATAAAAATGCTGTGCAGTCCCTCATAAAGTGGGACATTGTGTCACCCTACTGGCTACATAAAACGTGTTTTAATTTACAGCTGAAAATAGTTCCTGTTTGAGTAACATTTGTGAAAACATACAGTGCCCAGCTGTTCTAATATTACTGAACAATTTTTATTAATAGATTACAAATTTTGGGGTTCCCAGTAGCTCAGAAGGTAGGGCAGGCGCCCCATGTACAAAGGCAGTGTCCTTGCTGCAGCGGCCACGTGTACGACTCCAGCACAAGGCCTTATGCTGCATGTTCCTTCCCCTCTCTCTCCTCCTTTCAAGCTTCAAAAACTATCCTGTCATTAGAGGCAAAAAAGCCCCAATAAATGATCTTTAGAAAATATAATAATAAAATAAAATAATGAAGTGCCACAGACTCAGACATGGGATTTGTTTACAATAATAAAACTACAGAGAAGCAGCGGTCTTACCCTTTAAAACACCTACATTGCTCTAAAAACTACACATCAACACCTGGAGGGCTACAGGTGTTTCTAATATTCTGTCCACCCTCCTATATCTCCTACTCATTCCCCACCTCTCTCTGTGTAGTGTGGAGCACATCGTGGGCAACCTGGTGATGCAGCTGCTGCTGGGCATCCCGCTGGAGCTGGTTCACAAAGGCTTTGAAGTGGGAATGGTTTACCTGGCCGGCGTCCTGGCAGGTCAGCATCACCTGTTTTTGTTCCACATACAGTAAATGTGGGTCTGCTGTTACACAAGCAGCTCACAGTACAGTAAGCTACCTGGATTTGATGAGTGTTTGTGCAGACAGATGTCCAACACAAACTGGACTCTGAAGTTTGTTTTTCCTGTTTGTGTTGGAGCGAGTGATGGTAATACTTGTGTTTCCCCTCAGGATCGTTGGCCAGCTCCATCTTTGATCCTCTCAGTGCTTTGGTGGGAGCGTCTGGGGGTGTTTATGCTCTGATAGGAGGCTACTTTATGAACGCAGTGGTGGTGAGTAGAGTTCAGAGTTGGTATGAACATCAGAGTTTCAGTCTCAAGTGTTTACTGTGTTGTTTATGTGTGAGAAGAGATTGTCCACAGCTCAGTGTTTTAGAATGTGATGTTTGTGATGTATATTTTGAACCTAAACTTTTGAGACAGACAAGACTACAGATTTGTCTGATGAGTATATACAGAATTTAAAAAAAAAAAAATTCTGTCGTGGTCCAGTTTATTGTCAAAATGTTTAAAGGTTAACAGATAGAATAGTGTGTGTTCAGTACCAGCTCACATGTTAATGGTTTCTTTCTATGTTATTGAACTGCAGAGCACACATTCAGCCCCATAGTATTTTTGTTTTGAAGCACATTGCTCCAGAATTATTGTCGATTTTCTGCTTTGTGAAGCCTTAACTGTTTTTCTGCTAGGCAGTAATTGTAATATATATTTAGGTATGCTCAAAATGTCCCCCTGGATATATTGGTAAAAACTGAAAAGAAAAGAAAAATGCCATGAAAGGAAACCACACACCACCGTCCAAAATTGTCCTTCGCAAATGTAATTATAAAATTGCCATTACTATTATTATTATTACTGGTTCTGGTATTGTGGTTGTTTGTAGGGGTATAAATCATGACACAATATAATATTGATTCTTTGGAGAATGATAAAATATTTGCGGATATCATAAAGTCTGCCACGATATGATTCTGATTTGAATCAATTCAGGGGCCTGTGATTGATATGAGATGATGCTATTTGCCCTTTTAACATAACTCTTTACTAAAGACACTGCTGACCCTTTGGTTTTTGCCTTTGACCTTAAAAGATAAAAACAGCAGATTAATAATGTAAATAATAGTAACTGCTTAAGTGCAGTAAAGGTTAAATTGACTCCACCAACAGTCATAACACTCATAATTTTAACCCAAACCATGGTCTTTTTCTTGAAAACTTCAGGTCTGTCTGGCTTAAAGCCCTTCAGGCAAACTTCTCCCAACAGCCATAACACATGGATTAATGAAAAGATCATTTAACAAAAAAACAAAAAAACTTCGTCTGAATAATAACTGCCAAGGTTCATGGTCACCTTTATTAGCTCAAGCACAAATTAGCCCAGTAGCTAGCAGACTTTCCTCTACTCATACCTCAACAAATTACATGTATTATTTATACTTTATCTTACTCACCGGTGTTTAAAGTCACTGCATTTCCTAACAGAACAGGACAGTTTAATTTCAGCCTGCATGCACGTTTTTTCAGCTTAACTTTGGTGAGACAAAGCAGCTAATATCACCGTAGCAGAGTGAGATGCCAGACATGCAGGTAGATCTTGTTTCCTGAGTTTCCTGAGTATCCTGAGTTATCTCATAACAGCGTTGTTTACATACCCCGTGTGCTTTATCTGTTGACCATATGTTCTCTGAAATCCCAAAATGTTTTTCACTGTGCTGATTTATTCCCGAGTAAATAACGTCACCCTCATCGTCTTTTTCCTGGCTGCTTGTCCTTATGTGTCTGCCACTGTTTGATGGTGACGCCCAATTTCAAAATAAAGGCGTTTTCTAAAGATGATAATATGGATTGCTGTTTTCACTTTGCATCAATGATACTGGATCATTGATTATTGAAACAATACATCGATCATGATTGATGGATCGTTACACCTGTAGTAGTTTGTGCAAGTGTGGTACCCCAGCAGAGGCTGTAGCTCGACTGCTGAGGGAAGGTACCATCAATGTCAAACACTGTAGTGTCTCTAAAGCCCTGTTTCCACCAAACACTTCCGGTGTGCAACCCGTCAGACATGGTACCTAGACCCTAGCGTTTCCACTGCAAACAGTCCTCTTAAATGTGGGAGGGGTTGTTGTCACTCACTGCTCCGTCCAGCACTCTGGACTGCACTGTATTTCCTCATTACCAGTGACACAGATGGAAGTCTGCACCTCTTTTATCGTCCACAGAACGAGGCTGCACGCCGACATTTTCAGAGCAAATTGATTAATTGATTAAAACTCGAGCTAAGATCTTTGTTTCAAAATGCTCTAAAATGGTCCGTTTAGCTATTTTACTGGGGAAATTCTCCCCAGAACCCAGGTGTTGATTGAAAATGGCCCCTGTCAGTGTTACATATGTGTTTACAGCCCTGGCTTTCAGGCTTATTTGAGGGGAGAATATCAGTATTGTTCTTTACAGCTGATGACTGTTTCAATTTACAGAATTTCCGAGAGATGATCCCTCTCCTTGGAGTATTTCGTATCCTCGCCATAGTGATATTTGGTATGTTATCCTGCATGTTTCCAGCCTATTTTGTCATTTTTCTAACTGCTGTAATCACACTTAAATTACTTTTTTCTCCAGTTGCCACAGATTTTGGATTTGCCTTCTACAGAAGATTTGCCAGCGACGATGCTGGCATGAAGGTATGCTGCTTTCCCTTCCCCTGTACAGCCCAGGACTTTACTAGAATAAAAAAAACCCTTGCTAGACATTTTCAGATAAGCCTCAGGAGTGATCCCGCTGATCCAGCTAACCTCCCCCGAGCTGACAGTGTTTGGTGATGGATTTAATTTGCTTGTGGCTACAGGCAAGATCAGTAGCTCGTGTTGGGACTTGATTATTCTTCCAGACAAATACCTCTCTGCATAATGGACAAAGAACGGAAACTAACACACTTTTCCCGCAACCTGCTTCTTTATTTTAAATCAGTATTCCACATTGAGAAATGGTGACCTTGTCCTTTGATTCTATAGTTTCTCTTCCAAAGAATAAAACAACAGAAGGCATTCTTCCTGTCATTCTCTCTCTTCAAAGAAGCTTGTTGCCTCTCCACCTGATCACTGCAGACTCTAAAAACCTGATTTCTTATTCCATCCCCCACCTTTTCAACTTCCTTCTTTTTCCCCTACTCTTTGCTTTGGTTGTTAAACTGGTCCTTCAGGTTTTTAGGGTGTGAGGTCGGATGACAGCAGTCGAGGGTCTTTATCCAATTTAATTTCACCCCACAGGCTTACTCTGAAACCTGACTTCACCTTCTCTCCTCTTCCCAGGTGTCCTTTGTGGCTCACTTTGCAGGGATCGTGGCCGGTATGACCATCGGCTACGTCTTCTTCAGTGCTTACAACAAGAAGCTGCTCAAAGACCCACGCTTCTGGCTGTGTATACTGGGATATGTAGCCTTTGTGATCTTCGCTGTGGTCTTCAACATCTTCCTGACCCCAGCAACATAAGAACATGAAGCTGCACCAACCCTTTTATTTGTTTTTAAGTTAACACTAAATGCCTTGATGTCACACTACTCAGGAAGCTGTATTTTACTGATGTTGTTCAGAGGAAAGTTGCAGGGAGTTTGTAAATGTAGTGCAAAGGGTGTTTTTTTTAATTATTTTTCTATCAGATTTTCCTTTTTAGAGCTGAATGTGTGCGCTCAAGGGGAAGGATGCCTCCTGCTGTTCATGTGTAGTATTGCAGAAGGCATATTTTACACTAAAGACAATGGTGAGCAAAACGTGCCTTTAAAAAGTGAGTAATTTAGAACTGAATTAAATGTTTATGTACTTTTTTAATATGTTGTCATTGATATTTGTAGTTTTTTTGATGTGAGATCTCTTTGTGCTTGTCATCAGGATATTACTGAACACACTGGTCCTATGTCATATCATTTTTCTTTAAAAGTAAATAATGCTCAGGCTGTTGAATCATCAAGGACTCTTATGGACTCTCAGTATTCATAAAATGTGCCTTAAACATGGTGACATCACTACATTAAACACTAAATTTGACGAGTCTCAGGGAAACATGGGATACTTTTAAAAAAATCCTGGTGTTGCTCCTGACGTCTGTAAGGAAAAGAGCTGGTTTACCAACAGGCCGTGGCTTAATGCCAAGCTATTGTTTCAGTCACATCCTGTTGACCAGACATGGCCAATTACACACGAGTTACAGATCTCTGTCGGTCATGCTTGTTGTTTTTTAACCTTGGAAATAGAAAACTTAGGCTTCAAACATCAACACCCAGCTTTTAAAACATCATTTACTATAGTGAAAATAAACAGTGGTTGGTATCATACAATACTCCCACTTAACTTGAGGGAAACTGTTGAACGTTAAGTGGAAGTTATAGCTTTCAGATGGTACATTTTCTGTTTCATGAGTATGGAAATGGAAACACTAAACTTGTGGTGTGAGCAGAGGGCATTGGGTACATGTTGTAATTTAGAAACAGATGTTATGTTTGTACTTTTATCTAAAACCACAGGTAAATTACAACCAAAGACACCTCCTACACCTGGTTTTTGCATTTCCACGGCTCAGTGTTTAAAGTATTTTATTAAAACCTGATGTTTTTTTGATGAATTTGATGTCAAATATAATTTCATGCAGAAACAGGACAGGAGTATTGACTTTGTCTGATTAAAATCCCCAGAATTAACACTAAAAACTACATTTTCACTGGTTGGTCTTCCAACTCATTGTCAATTAGCAGATAAGATAGTGTGTGTGTAGCAGTCTAATGTTTGATGTTGTGCAGACTCTGCTACATATATTTGATTGTACCCGTATGGCAGTGACAGCTTTTTATAGTATGGAAAGTTCCATAGTTTCCAAACAGCTCATCAATATAACTTAGTGCATCAATATTCAATTACCATGAGCTTGTTTGCCTTGACCCTGAAACAGTGGGAAATGGTATGTTGCCCTCTCTAGCACAGCAATCGAAGAAAATCTGATGTCACAGGACAGAACTGCTGAAACATTAAAATCTGCCAGATTTCACCTTTTTTTTATATCTTAAAATCAATATTTGCTGCCAGGCGGTCATTGCTGTAGTGTTTCATGTTCACTTAATGAGGATCTTGCTTTAAAATACTGGAAATAAAACTGGGTTTCTTAATTTGGTTTGGCGAGGACCAAAGGTCTTAAAAATGACAGAAACAGTGGCATCATTTCTGGTGAACATTTTACAAGTTACCTTATCATATGTTAATTCTTTTAGACCATAAATACTTGACTTTTGCCAATAAGATAGTCAGAAGTGACACAAATTGTAAAGATCATCTATATCATCAATATTTTAAGACATAAAACATATAAAACAATCTGTCTGATCTGGTTTCTTCACACACATATTAAGTCATGCAAAATTATACACATAGGCAGATGCCTTAAAGAGACAGTTCACCCCAAAGTTAAAAATACATATTTTTCCTCTTCACTGTAGTGCTTTTTATGAACTTCGATTGTTTGGTGTGAGTTGCAGAGTGCTGGAGATATTGGCTGTAGAGATGTCTGCCTTCTCTCCAATATAATAGAACTAGATGGCACTCGGCTTGTGGTGCTCAAAGCGCCAAAAAAGTACATTTGATAAACTCAACAGCAATGTCTCTTTCCAGAAATCATGACCCAGTTACTCAAGATAATCCACATGTAGGAACTATTTCCTTTCTTGCACAATGATACAGCTGGTAAGTGCAGTTCAGTAGAAAGAAAATAGTTCCTACATGAAACTGCTCACAACAAGGTCTGTGAATTATCTTGAGTAACCATGTCATGATTTCTGAAAAGAGACATTGCTGTTGAATTTTTCAAATGTAGTTTTGGGCGCTTTGAGCACCACAAATTGAGCGCCATCTAGTTCCATTATATCTGAGAGACAGCAGACATCTCTACAGCCGACATCTCCAACACTTTGCAACTCACACCAAAACAAATCTAGACTGATAAATAGCACTACAGGTCGGATTTTTTTTTTTTTTTTGAATTTGGGCTCATCCGTCCCTTTAAACTCATAAAAAATTTAAGGTGAGCACAAAGACACTTTCCTTCTTGCACATACATCCTTCTGCACAGTGAATATCAAACATTCAAGTGAATATGTCTCGAATCCTTTATGACAGCTTACAATGTTTGGTAATTTATTGCCAAAATACGTTCATATAGCTATTGTGTATGTACTGTAAGTGTGATGTATACTGTACATACATCACCTATTTGAATTTCTGGCAATTCATCTTCTCTCAAATATTTTATTGGTAATAAAATTTAAAAACTTTTTTCAGGTTGCAGACATAACATTCCACCTAAATGATTTTTTTTTTTTCCATTCTGAATCAATGAATTCTGTTGACAGACAGTCAGCCAGGAGACGCCCTTTGGGGGGGTGACGTACAAGTGAACATTGTTTTTTTTCTTAAGAGGAAATGACACTATGATTTCTAGGATTTTCCCAGTATGTTGCCCACGTGTAACCCTCTGTGTCCCTAATGTTTTTGTACCAGACTGGTTTGAATCAATCCTGCTCTGCTGGGCAGAATGAGATGTTTGAGATCAGAAGTGAAAAGCTTCATATTCACAGACAAGTGATAAACATCTGAGCTGAGCTGGTGGGTTGAATCTTGTCGAAACACACAAATTAGCCCAAATATTCCCACTCTAGACAGCTTGTCTTGTTCCATAAAGCTAAATAACAAATAAACATGTCACATCCTGGGGGTGAAGCTCCTGACTGACCTCAGATAACAAGCATATTTATCACACAGAGGCGTTTAAAGGTGTTTAGAATCGGACGGTGTGTTAAGTTGGCGACCAGCAGTTGACAAGCTAACTAATCCATTGTGATAGATTTCTTATAAATGGGATAAAATAATGTGTCAAGTGCATGAGAACTTCATTACATCCAGAGAGAGGAAGCAGGGTATGAAATCGGACATGATGACTCATTGATTACTTTGCTATAGTAGAAAACTATTGATCGTACAAGGCCTATGTGGATAACTGAGTGGTATTGATAATGTGGGGATTCCAGCCACAGTGGCTGTTTCCTTCTTTTTGTTTGTACATATGGAGCAAATTCACTCCAACAAATGAGTGCCAACAAATCCTGAGCATGTTGTCTGGACTTGCAAAGCACTTCTTTGGAAACAGCTTGGTTATTTACTCCCACAGATATTGTACACACCCAAATGAACCATAAAAATATGTTCAGTCAGTTATTATCACAGCTGCTGATGCATGCAGCATTTCTATCTAAGGTCAAACAGTCTGACAAAAGGACATAAATTAATCCTAACCTGCAAATATTGCAGACAATATCTGTGTTACAACCGGTTGCAAGCCCCTCACTGTGAGGCCATGATTTAAATGCATCGATGAAGCTGTTGGTATTGACTTTCTCTGGTCAGAGTAGTTGGCAACCTTCCCTCAACAGCTCAGTTGTTCCCACTTTGTTTCTGGCAACACTGCAGCAGAGGCGGGTCACTGAGGTTTAGGTGATGCACAGGGACTCATGTGGAGGGTGCTAACGATTTTTAAACTTTTTGGTGACCGTGTCAGGGCTGCATGACCAGAGGAGATTTAAGTCACCACCGGCAGTCTGTCCACGCCGCTGCAAGGTAAATGGAAACGGCAAGTGAACTGATCTCTGCCCTGGTCTATATAATGACACCGCTGAGGGGAATTGTTTTATTAACACAAAACTGGACAGCTGACCAGCCGAGGGAACATATCACTGGATGTACAAGTCTTTCCTGTCTACTTTTAAAACCTTTTTTTGAAAATATGTGACACTTTGCATTTTCATGTCACTTGCTCTCTACTAGTTAATGTTTCATTTTTTCCATTTAAGAGGTAGTGTAATTTTTTGACACTTGTTACTGGGAAATCTTAATCTTTTTTGGGGGGTTAACTACAGAATTTGCTGTTTTTATACTGGCTGCTTATTTTGCCAATATGCTTTTGCTGTCTGTCTTGAAGTCAAACTAATTTCTTCAAATGTGTGCTGTCACTCTATTTGTTGTAGTATTATGTTTCTACACACACATTTTTAACTGTTTCAGCAGATTTTCTTCCCTAATTATTTCTCTCTCCATCATTGACTTTCCACCAGTCATAATGGCAGAGTGAAGATGGGGGACTGGAACTTCCTCGGGGGGATTTTGGAGGAGGTGCATATCCATTCCACTATGGTAGGCAAGATCTGGCTCACCATCCTGTTCATCTTCCGTATGCTGGTCCTCGGGGTGGCAGCCGAGGACGTGTGGAACGACGAGCAGGCTGACTTCATATGCAACACCGAGCAGCCCGGGTGCAGAAATGTGTGCTACGACCACGCTTTCCCAATCTCCCTCATCCGCTACTGGGTGCTGCAGGTCATCTTTGTGTCTTCTCCCTCACTGGTTTACATGGGCCACGCTCTCTACAGGCTGCGGGCACTGGAGAAGGCACGGCAGAAGAAGAAGGCTCTGCTGCGGAGGGAGCTGGAGTTGGTGGACGTGGAGCTGGCAGAAGCCAGGAAGAGGATTGAGCGGGAGATGAAGCAGCTCGATCAGGGGAAGCTCAACAAAGCTCCTCTGAGGGGCTCTCTGCTGCGTACCTACGTGGCTCACGTTGTCACTCGCTCTGTTGTTGAGGTGGCCTTCATGACAGGCCAGTACCTGCTTTATGGCTTTCACCTCTACCCGCTCTACAAGTGTGAGCGGGATCCTTGTCCCAATGCTGTGGACTGCTATGTCTCCAGACCGACGGAGAAAAGTGTCTTCATGGTGTTCATGCAGTGCATCGCTGGAATTTCTCTCTTCCTGAACATCTTGGAGATCATGCATCTGAGTTACAAGAAGATTAAGAAGGGCATCTTGGACTTCTACCCTCACTTGAGAGATGAGAAAGATGAACTTGATGATTACTATGTCAACAAGTGTAAAAAAGAATCTGTTGTGCAAATTTGCACCAGCGTACCCCGAAAGGCAACAATCGCTTCTGCACCCAGTGACTACAACCTCTTACTGGACAGGGTGCAGGGCACAATCATGTACCCAAACCTCATCAAACCTTCAACTTTTCTACCGCTTCAGAGCGAGCTGCCCACTCAGCACGATTTGGATGACTCCAGATGTTCAGTTCAAAGCCCCCCACATTCTAACTGCACCTTGACTACAAACGAGCCCTGCTCTCCGTGCTGCGACTCCCTGATTAACCCAAAGCAGGAGGCTGAGGACTTTTTGCATCTTCCCCCGCACAGTAAAGAGAATGGGGGCAATGAAAGAATGAGCCCAGACTCTCCAAAATGCCCACAGAAGGCAGTGGACACTTCCTCCTTCCCCACGCTGCCAGTGAGTGCATCAAGGAGGCCTTGGAGAGCCCAGGGCTCTTTGAAATGCTCCACGGTGTTGGAGGGCAAAAGCTCTGACACGGATTCATACGGGGGTGCGAAAGCCAGCAGTGGACCTCCCATCACTCGAACACAGTCGAAATCAGACGGCAAACATCAAAGCCGGCCGTCCACCCCGGAGTCACTGGATGACTCCAGCTCAGAATCCAGGCACGCCAGACCCCCTTCATCCAACTGCAGAGCATCAGTGGCAAGTAATGCGAGCAGCAGACGAGCGGCAGACCTGCAAATTTAAACCTCAGACACAAAGTGTGTTCTTACAGCAATTCATGTTACAGGTGTACTGATCTTACTGTCATATCTACATTTAAAGGTATACTTTGCAAGTTTTTCCAAAAAATACAATGTATAGACTCTCAAACATCACTAATGACCCACTAGAAGTGTGTGGCGGTGTATTTATCTACAGAGACTCTGGCCCCTGTCTGTATTTTCTTATTTTGCCGTGTTCGGGACGTTTCCTGGGCACAGCCTGTAGGTGAGGTTGGGACTTTATAAGTAAAAGTAAAAGTAGTGCCAGACCATAAACAGCATGCATCCAAGAGTAAGCTACGAAAATCACGGATACAGAAATATAGTGAGGTGAAACACCGAGCGGACAAAGCTGGGGTTGACTTTCACTTTCGCTGGTGATACTTTTTTTTTTTTTTTTCCAAACAGTAGCTGACAATTTCTGTATAGTTTAACTTTAACTCATGGATTAAGCAGCACTCTAAGCTGCCTCCGAACTGAGAGTTTGCTAATATTGTGTTTTTGGTTTCAACTTTTGACACCTTTGTCTCAATAAAATGGCATGATTTAAAAACTTATTGCAGTTTGACTAATGAAATTAACATTTTTAATTGTTTTTGGTGACATATTATAATGTAAGAAACAAGAGAGGACTTTGTACTGTATATTTTATATTCTTTTTCCACCTACTTTTGGAATCAACTTGTTTTCTATTGTGACTAACTGCATGTACTGCTACCCAATTAGCATGACCTGTTTTATGTTAACCATAGTTAATATCTGAGCTCATAGCTGCATCATGATCTTGGTGGTCTATATACAAGATTAGGTAGGCCTGCATTGGGCCAAATATAGATGAGATGTCTCAAGTGGTATTTTTCTTTGTAGTGTGTCATTTAAAAATGCCAGTATCATTTAAGCAGAAAAGAAATGTCAATATGTTCTGGCTACTGCACTTGCTTTAACATAACTTGCTTCAACACCTGTTCCATTTTCTGCATGCACATTTACATCTGATTATCATGATGACACTTCAAGAAGTCATATAGGCCTAGTTGGTATAATTTTGAAGGTGTTGTATGATCCCAGGTCATCAAATACCGACGCTTTGGGTCAGCTGTCAGATTAAATCACCAACCCAAAGTGGTGGTATCTGACAACCTGGGAGTGAGACTCAACAATCAACTATCTTTCTCATGACAAACATGTACACTTATGACGGGCCTTTTGCAAATCGTCTCTCCCATAGTAATGTGAGCATTTGCACAAAATAACATCCAGATATTTTTGTAAAGATTTTTTGTCTCAAGTTTGCTGTTTAATTTTATCTCTGTATTTTTAGGGCATTACTGGGGGCATTTAGTCGACACTCATCTGTTTCCTGAGCATATCAATAAGACGCTAACACTGCAGCACTGTCCTCACCAACACAAATTGTTGGATTACTGTCATAGAAAACCAGATGTGCTCTGGTCCCTAAAGCCTTTATTCGTCTCTGTATTGTTGTTATATCTGGTTTGCTTCCTGAGAAGTTTTTACCCTCATTGTAGAATGTTAAGTAAAGACGTAGCAGTGTTGACACACACATCTGTATCTGACCACAGTATCAACATCCTGATATTCCAATAAAAAGCCTGATTGAAACATTTCTCTTTTGAAATTGGTTTAATCAACAATACAACGATAATCACAAGACTGTGCTTTATTTTACTGGTGACTTACATTTTTGCTTTTTCTCCCCCCACAGCTGTTTACTGAAACCAGACCTTAAGAAACAAAGTGTAAGTGTGTCTTTGTTACACACTGTCATGTATCAGGACAGAGTGTGTGTGTTCATAACTATGCCAGAAAAATAAAATTGACAGTAGTATAATCAGGCATTGGTTATTTTCTTTCATAGACCCCTCAAAAAAATAACACGTCCCACGTCTAAAGAACTGACTCATGCGGTCGTATACAAGGGCACTTTCTCAGTAAAGTTATACTAAAGACCGAACAAACAAGAAACAAACTTATTTACATACATGTACAGAATAAGTTAGATTATAAGAAACATAGAAAGTAAGATTTACAAAAGCAGGTACCTAAAAAAATCTTGGCTTTCACTTAACAGTGTTGTGTCTTGAAAGTGACAAAAACAAAAACTACATTATTTCAGCCAAAGCACTGCTGTGGTCTAGTCAGCTGTGGCGCCATCTTCAGATGCAGGTTCATATTGCTGCAGCTGAAGAGATGGAGGTGAAAGTGCATCTATGTTACACTGTACGTTTTTTTAAATGACATGCACAACTTTTAAGAACAAGCAAAAGCTTACCTTTGTTTTGAGGTCTTTGTTTTCCTCTACCAGACGTGCACACCTCTGCCTCAAGTCGTTCACCTCCTGCTGCAGAGCCTCAGCGTCTGCTAAAGTCTGAGCGGCAGCACAGAGATGCTGCTGCACAAATCTGGGAAGGAGTTGGTTAAAGACTCTACAGCAAGCTGTGGCTTCCTTTATTACCCTCTTAACATTTCTCTTTATTAGTATTCTTTTATTTAGAGTGGCGAGTGCAGGCATGAATTTCAGTACAAGGCTCAACACACTACCTGCTAAACCAAAAGACACTATCTGAAACCACTCAGTGGTTCAGGTTGTGTGCATTGAAGGATACTCCAGGGCATTGGTGGGCCTTTCAGGTTGTTCATACAAAGCCACTAGAACTGAAATCAAAGAGGAAAAAAGACTTTAATAAAGCTGCATGAGAACTGAGGCAACAACTGATAGAGCTGGGTATCAAATATCAGTGCTTTTTTTAGTACCAGCTATATCTGACACTGATAGTGAATGTTTGCAGCAAATCCTTGGCTGGACAGATTTTGTGCTCTTTATCTGTTGTTTTGCTCACATATTCCCTGATCTTTATTCTCTGATAATTCATTGTGTGCTCACCTTTTTTATCTTTTTATTTGGACATAAAAGGTTTGTAATGGGGGCCAACTTATTTGCAAAACTCTCTTCTCCTCCATAATAAACAGACCAGTGATTTAAACATCACTGTTTTTCTGACACTGTTGGGTCATCGTAGACTGACTACTATCTGCCATGGCCTACGTGAAAATGAATGTCCATAAACGGCCCTATCTAGAGCCGGTGATTGGTTTGTCTATTCAGGATTACTGTAGAAACATGGCAGTGAGACACAACGAACAAATAGATGAAGACCGCTCCCTAGGTAGATATATACAGCTCATTGTAAGCTAGCAAAAACAAGACAATTCTTTTTTTTTTTTCCAGGTGATTATACACTACGGAAAATATATTTATTAAATTATATTCCATTTCTGTCAGTATAGCTCTTTAAATCCTATACGCTGGACCTTTAAAAATACATTTGGTCATTTTAGGCTGTGTTTATTTGGGCAAAATTCTTGCACTGCTGCTTTGTATTAGGCTAAAATTAAAATGGATGCATTTGTGAAGTTTGGCTTAATTTTTTATGAAGAAAATGGGTTTTGTAGAACAACATTTTGTATTCCTTTATGAGATATCAAAATGTTTTGTTGTGAGCACTGGATCTCTGCTATTGTGTTGGCACAAAATGTCAAATACGTAGCCCTTATTACTAAGAAAGTTAATTTTGTACTAAAATGTGACGTTAGTTGGTATTATTTACAAATCACAGCAATTCAATAGTTTGCTTTTCATAGGATTTGTTTCTAAATAGATAGCAAGTTTCAGTGATAACCTTGTCTTAAGCTCTCCTGGGTTGCTTTATAACAAAGTGCCCAAGCACAAAGACAGAAATAACTATAATAAAAGAGTGCCATACCACTAGTAAGACTGTCCACAACACCAGTTTTCTCCAAATATCTGCGAAACTGCTCCCTTTTGGAGTCTGGAGCCTGTAGGAGGAGAAAAATAAAACAATTTCACTACCAACCACACCCTCAACTGCCAGTTTTAGTAACTTATAGCAAGTTTAAGTCAGAAAACACGATTAAAATGATATTAAAATACACAAAACTGTCATATTACTAACTGCAGCAGAAAATGGTGGTCAAAAAACAGTTTGTAATGAGCCTGTTGACATTACCTTAACTTAAGTTTATCCACAAACATTTATAAACTTCAATCATAATGGAAACCAAAAGCTGTCACAGGTGTTCCGTCTATGCACTGATGAACCACTTAGCTAGCTAATATTAGCATAGCTAGCTTACAGTTGGTAGACAAGAAAACAGTTTCTGCTGGGCATGGGTGTAACATGAAGCGACAGCAAACATACTTACTCTGTAATGTGCCATAATGATGTGGGCTATGAAGCTGACTTTCTTCTGAAAGATACAATATTTACGAGTACCGGTTTCCTCCGCAAACCTTGTTTAGAAACGCCTACAAACCGCCCGAAAAGTTAAGTTTCGTTTGGTTTATCACCATAGTCCATGCAACGGGTCTGCTGCCTTCAGGTGTGCCTCGTAAAGAACATGCACCGAACACAAGCAGAGCAAAAGTCATGACGCATGATTAAAAATCATAAAGTCGTGGCTATGGCTCGGATAGAGACGCAAAGCTAACTAATTAGCCATCTAGCTCATGTTTGTCTCATAACAAAGTACACCCTATGTTCTTGGGTTGAAATGAGAGCTTGCATGTTATAGACGCTTTTAGATCCGACATTTTAAGAAGACCGTGAACGCCTACACTTTACTGAAATGGATGTCTGCCGCCATCTGCTGGTGATATCGCAGAACACCAGCACTGCCTACTTTCTATTTGATACGTTTTTAATAAACGTCGTCAAATGTTACTTATTTTACAGAAAATAAAAATATATAAATGATATGTTGTTGTTACAAACTCAAACGGCTTAAGACAGCTGCGCAAAGAGTGTGTATTTACCACTTATTCGGGTGATAGGTCACAAAACAGGTCTGAGTACTAGTCAGGTGACAGCGACAAACCTCAGTAGAGTGACAGGCGGTTCGACCAATCACTTTTCGTGTTTTAATTCCGACAGCTAATCAGAATCAAGGGGTGGGAACAAAGGGTGAGTTTTTTTTCAGTGGAGAGGAAATCCTAAGGAAATGTGTGGGATCACGCTCGGTGTTTCCAAGTAGCCAGGGCATTATTGATAAAACTATTTCACTGTGTAACGTTAGTTTGTGTTGGTGCGATACAAACACGGGTGCAGCGACCGACAAGTAAGGGGGGGAAGAGGGGAAGCGACCGTCGTTAGGTCAAAATGTCGATTCAGTACGAAGTGGAACAGCTGGCTGACAGCTACGGGGTTGCGGACTCGTTCCCCAAAGATTTCGGCTATGGTGAAGAGGAGGCCGACATCGAGGACAGCCCGACGCCGTCCGACAGCAAACCGAGAATCCTGCTCATGGGTTTGAGGAGAAGTGGCAAATCATCCATACAGAAGGTAAGCAGAGATGGTGAACTATTAGCCTCTCGAGGCGAGCGGCGCCTTCCCCCTGCTGCACGCAACTAAATGGGACGTTAGCCAAAATAGCTAGCGAGTTGGTGATGATAGCTATGAACCAGCAGATAACATGTCTAGCTACACGAGAGTGTGAGAGCTGAAATTAAAAACCCCCTTTCCTGCAGCTAACAAGCAGTTAGCCTTCAGTGTTAGCTAACGCTAGTGTAGCTGTAGCAGTAAATTATTAACCAGGTGGACAGGAGACGCGCGGTGCATCTGTATTGATACATGGACACAAAGCATGTGACTGTTTGGTTAACAACTTATCCAACATGCCAAATATATCTTAGTCCCACCCAGCTGTGAGGCATTGGGCAGGTCTGATGTGTAGCTCTCACATGACTGCAACCCGACCACACCTTCCATTCTGCAAGTCATAACACTTTGTGTTAAATCACTGCATCCGTCATAGCACCTGCAGCCAGGACAACATGCTCTTTAACTTAAAACATGGCTGGATTAATGAGTCAGGAGGCCCCTGCTGACCCCCCACCACCAACTGCCCCGTGTGCAATATGTGCCCTGTGGCCTGCAATAAATCCAGAGCTATCAGGGCTCCCAACGTCTCTCACTGAAAAAGTTATAGCTGTGGCAGTAAACCACCAAGATCCTGACGCAACTCGTCTTGTGATCAATGTGCTTAGTGCATGAAGGCCTAAACAACAGCCACACTCATTACATATATGGCTTCTGCTGTGGGAAAAGCACCGCTGTTTTTCCCTATAGTTTAATGGAACGGTGTGTACGATTTTGGGGGCTATATTGGCAAAAATTTAATATCATATAATCAGTATGTTTAGTTTAGTATTACCTAACAATAAGAATCAATGTGTTTTTGTTACCTTAACCTCCTGAGACCCTGCGTCCTCGCATGAGGACATCACATTTTAGGTTTACTTGACCTTATACCTTATTCTACTTAACTTAGACCTGTTGTCCTCGTTCATGGACACTTTTTTTTCTGCCATCTAGTGGCAGTAAGAGCACAATACACTAATGTGTGTAAAAACAAGATGGCAGCCATCTCCAAGCAAAGTCAATCTGCAGCCGATCCCAACACAAAAGTGGACAAGGTCCGAAACCTGATCACATTTTATGGTTGAAACTTATTTTTTTATGATTAATAATGGTTGTAGTTTGATTTGGCAACCACATTTGACCAATTTTAGCAACTGTAACAAGCCAAGACAC